AATTATCTCTATTTGCACATGACATGATAGCATACCTGAGACCCTAGGAAAAAATGATAAAATAAACTCAATTTTAAAAACTCGATGTAGCAGTATATAAAAATTAACATACAAAAATCAATTGCAGATACACAAGTAATAACCAGTTGGGATATATAATGGTGGAAGAAGAAACCCTATTTACAAGAGCAACAAAAAGCTAAGATAGTTAGGAATAAAACTTAACAAGAAATGTTCAAAACCTGTATGAATGAAACTATGAAACACTCTTAAAAGACCTGAAAGTAAACTTGAGCAAAAAGAAAGACATCTGTTCTTGCCTAGGATAGCTCAGCTTCATTAAGATTTCAATTCTAAGCCTGGTGCAGTGGCTCCCTCCTATAATCCCAGCACCTTGGGAGGGAGGATGAGGTGGGAGGATCACTTGAGATCAGCAGTTCAAGACCAGCCTGGCCACCATGGTGAAACTCCGTCTCTATGAAAAATACAAAAATTCGTTGGGCATGGTGGCCCACACGCCTGTAGTCCCAGCTACTTGGGAGGCTGAGGCATGAGAATCGCTTGAACCTGGGAGGCGGAGGGCTGCAGTGAGCTGAGATCACATCACTGCACTCCAGCCTGGGTGACAGAGCGAGACTCTGTCTTGAAAAGAAAAAAAAAGATTTCGATTCTAAGTCAATATATAAATTTAATGTGATCCAAATATAATTCTCAAAAAGGCTTTTTTTTTTTTTCTGGAGATAAAATTAAATGATCATGTAAAAAAATAAATATACAAGGATAGCTAGGAAAACTAAGACGGAAGGGCTCTTAGGAGATACCAGTCCTGTAAGATATGAAACCACATTACGAAGCAGGTATGATGAAGAGTATGGTTGTGGAGCATGAATAGACATGATAGAACAGAATAGAAAGCCCAGAAATAGATGTAACTACAAATAGAAATTTAGTGTATGATAAAGGTGGTACCACAAGTTACCAGGGAAAAGGTGGGTTTTTAAATAAACGATACTAAAACAATTGAACACGCCAAACCTTTCTGGCTTGGGGGAAAAAGAGAAAGAAAAACCACAAAAACTGGACAGCCATTTGGGAAAAGATAAAATTAGATCCATTCTTCACACAGTCTTTTCACACAAGCATAAACTCCAAATAGATCAAAGATCTAAATGTAAAAAATGAAACTAAATTAGTAGAAGAAAACGTGACAAATTTCTCCATAAAATGGGTGTAGGAAAAGTCTTTCTCATTATAAATCAAAATCTAAATGAAATAAAAGATTGATAAATTTGACTACATAAAAAAAATCTTTTGCGTGACAAAAAAAAAAATCACTGTAAACAAAGTTAAAAGACAAAATACAAATTGGGAGAAAGTATTCCCAACATACATCACAGACAAATGGTTAATATCCCTAATACAGCACATAAAACTGTCTTTAAAATTGAGAAGGGCAAAAAGACCAAAAACCCAATAGAAAAATGGCCAAAAGGCATGAGCAGACAATTCAAAAAAATATAAAAATGGTCTACATTGTGTGTGTGTGTGTGTGTGTGTGTGTGCGCGCGCACACGAGTGCCACATCTGTGGTCTCAGCTACTCGGGAGGCTGAGGTGGGAGGATGGCTTGAGCCCAGAATGTTAATGTTAAGGCTGCAGTGAGCTGTGTCCCCACCCCACTGCACTCTAGCCTGCATAACAAAGAGAGATCTGTCTCAAAAACCAAACCAAAACAAAGACAAAAACAAAAGAAAAGAAAAAGAAAAAAGGCCAGGCACGGTGGCTCACGCCTATAATCTCAGCACTTTGGGAGGCCGAGGCGGGCAAATCACAAGGTCAGGAGATCGAGACCACCCTGGCCAACATGGTGAAACCCCGTCTCTACTAAAACATACAAAAATTAGCTGAGCGAGCATGGTGGTGCGTGCCTGTAGGCTGAGGCAGGAAAATGGCTTGAACCCGGGAGGGAGAGATTGCAGTGAGCCAAGATCGTGCCACTGCACTCCAGCCTGGCAACAGAGTGAGACTCCATCTCAAAGAAAAAAAAAAAAGAAAAAAGTACCCTGAGCTACCCTTTCTCAGTCATCAGAGTGGCATCAATTCACAAACAATATGTGCTGTTGATGACAACTGTCTCATACAGCTGGGGGAAATGCAGAAAGGTGTGGAAGAGAATCTGGCCGTACCTAAGAAAACTACATGGGCATTTTTCCTTCCACTGAACAATCACATTTCTAGGAATTTATCTGAAGAAAAAATTTCAACAATAAGCTTTTTAATATTTTACATATTTTTAAAATTAAACTGAGATGGAGATTAAAAAAAAAAGCAAAAGAAACCAGACTGTATTACAAATAATTATCGTTAACTACTCTAGTGGGGACACAGCAGGGGGAAATTAGTGCTAGTAACATTTAAACATGCTCAGTCGTCCACATGCAAACAAGTTTTGAACCCTTTTGTAGCGTTAGGTTTTGTAGAGATCTAAGTGCAGCAATTATGAAACTAATGTATGTGTTAGTGTTAGTTTGAGTAAATATATTGGGAGCCACAGTTCTTACTGTGAAGAATGGAGATACAAATATGGAATGGAGGAAAGAAGAGAACATTTTAGGCTGGGCACAGTGGCTTACGCCTGTAATCACAGCACTTTTAGAGACCGGGGGAGGATGGATCATTTGAGGTCAGGAGTTCAAGACCATCCTGGCTAACATGGTGAAGCCCATCTCTACTAAAAATACAAAAATTGGCCAGGCGTAGTGGCTCATGCCGTAATCCTGCACTTTGGGAGGCCGAGGCAGGCAAATCACTTCAGGCCAGAAGTTCGAGACCAGCCTAACCAACATGGAGAAACCCCATCTGTACTAAAAATACAAAATTAGCTGGGCACGGTGGCACATGACTGTAATGCCAGCTACTTGGCAGGCTGAGGCAGGAGAATTGCTTGAACCCAGGACGCAGAGGTTGCAGTGAGCCGAGATTGCACCACTGCACTTCAGCCTGGGCAACAAGAGCAAAACTCCGTCTCAAATAAATAAATAAATAAAAACAAAAATTAGCCAGGCATGGTGGCATGTGCCTGTAGTCCCAGCTACATGGGAGGCAAAGGTGAGAGAATTGCTTGAACCAAGGAGATGGAGGTTGCGTTGAGCCTAGATCGCAGCATTGCACTCCAGCCTGGGTGACAGAGCAAGACTGTCTCAAAAAAAAAAAAAAGAAGAAGAAGAAAAAGAAGAAGAGGAAGAAGAAGGAGGAGGAGGAGGAGGAGGAGGAGGAGGAGGAGGAGGAGGAGGAGGAGGAGGAGAACATTTTGGAGGTTGGCTTAAGACTTGTCAGCATGAACTTTTATATTACAACTCTTGTATTTCCCAACTCTGAAAGAGCTTAGAAGCAATGTCAAATCAATTGCAATGAGCACACTTAATGTCTTGACTTTGGTTTTTACTCCTTAGAAGAATGTCTGGTTCCAGGGCTGGGGTAAGGAAAGTACAAAATAAACCTCGAACATCTTGTTAAGCCAAGAAGTGACAAAGTGTTCAAAACATGAGGGGAGATTGTTAAATGCACACAGGACCCAATCTGAACCGGTTCCCACTGGCCAACCCTGACAAAATGTGAGCACTAAACTAAGAATATAATGGATTACAACCCTGGCTATAAAACAGGAATTCTTTAGGTCATACCGATAATCAATCAATCAGTAAGTGTGAGGAGGTGCCCTTCCTTATACCAATGGATACGTGTGAAGACAGTTGTGAAACTGGAAAATCACCATTCTCAACCATCCTCCTAACGGCTGGTCCAAATAAGAATAATTCATGAATGCTAAATCTAGGGGGAAAGTTCGATGAGGAGTAGAATATTTATATAGTTTCAAAGTGTCTCTCCACATACTAATTAGTTACAAAAGGTAAAACAGTAACTCTGCAGTAGAGAAAACAGACAACACCTTGATCAAAAAGATCACCAATGAGAAACAGAAGAACAAAGTGTGCATCTGGATGTGATACACTGGAAAAGTTACAACATTGTTTGGGTTGGGAACAACTCAAATTGAAGAACATTTGTAAAATATGGACGAATTTCATGAAAGCTAATAAAAGGCTGAGGAACAGTTGCAGATTAAAGAAAAGAAAAGAAAACAAACAAAATGCAAAACATGATCCTGGACTGGGGAAAAAAAATTCCATGAACATTATCAGAGAAATTGAAAAAGTTGAGATATAAGACTTAAGATTTTCTCAACGTTAAATTCCTGAATCTAATAATTGATCTATAGTTATATAACAGAATATCTTTGTTCTCAGGAAATACACAAATTGTGTGTGTGTGTGTGTGTGTGTGTGTGTTAATACAACACTTTATTGAGGGGTTAAGGGGTCATTGTGAGACAGGATAGAAATTTAACCATGAAGGTCTTCCAGTGGCTCATCCAAGGCCACAGAGCTAATAAAAACCACGAACATCATATGAAACGTGAATAGGGTGCCAGAAAACTCACAACTCGGAGTGTCAATGATTTGCAGCTCCTGCGTGCAGAGTAACCTAAGGGCCCCAGTCCCTGTCCTTGGCGGGTGTACCAGTCAGAGCCAGGCTCCTCACCATCAGATTTCTGCCCACGTGGTTGTGTCTGCTTCAGAGGTGGTCTACGATTGTCTCTCTTCCTCAGCCATCAGAAGTGCCTGCGTTTCCTCACCAAAATCAGCTTTTTTCAGCCCGAGCACCCTCAGGGCACACTCTGGGTGTCTCAGGGCCTCGCAGAGCACAACCACCCCTCCGTGGTCCAAGGCGTTCTAGGTCAGGTTTAGCTGCTGCAGGGTCTTACTGCTGGTGAGAACAGACGCGAGATCCTTACAGCAGGTGCTTGTCAACGCACAGTCTTCCAACCCAAGAACCTCTACGCGGCAATCAGGGTGCGTCAGCGCCCCACACAGCAGCTTCACGCCCACATCTCCTATTTCGTTGCACCCAATTTCCAGATTCTTCAGGTTCTGATTGCTGATGAGAAGATCGAAGTGGCTCCGGGGGCAGCTCTCCACACCCACGGGGTCTCCGCATCTCACCACCGTCCACCGGCCACTGCCCCCCAGCCGCGTCATTGAGGAGCTGCACAGAGCGCTGGCCACGAAGCACCGCCAGGACAGTTTTCAAGGAAGGGAAAGTAAAGGGTCTCCAAAGAAGCGAATGGACATCCGTCTGTCAAGAACATCCAGCGTGGAGCGGGGCAAGGAGAGGGAGGAGGCTTGGAGCTTTGACCGGGCCTTGGAGAACAAGCGAACTGCCGCTAGGGAATGCGAGGAGGACAAGGAGAACCTGATCATGAATTCTGAACTCAAGGACGACTTGCTTCTGTATCAGGACGAGGAGGCACTGAACGATTCCATTATTTCTGGAACACTACCACGGAAATGCAAGAAGGAGCTCCTGGCCGTGAAACTAAGGAACCGGCCCAGCAAACAGGAACTAGAAGACCGGAACATTTTCCCCAGAAGGACTGATGAAGAAAGACAGGAGATCCGGCAGCAGATCGAGATGAAGCTCTCCAAGTAAGTGGCAGCGTGCGGGCACAGCAGGCTGCGCCCTGGCCTTGCAGGCTGAGCCCTCTGAGATCCTACATCCTGGGTGTGCCAGACTGGGGCACACTCACAGCGTCTGCGTCAGGTCTCTTGGCCCCGCCACCGCTGACATTTGGGGCTGTCCCGTGCATGCCGGGAAGAGGGGCTGGGTGCAGTAGCTCACGCCTGTAATCCCAACACTTTGGGAGGCCGAGGTGGGAGAATTGCTTGAGCCTAGGAGTTCAAGACTAGCCTGGGCAATATATCGAGAAGCCCCCCAGCCCCCATCTCTAAATATACATGTATTTTAAAAGAATTTTAAAAAGTAAGTAGTATGAGGTAAAGAGAAATGTTATGTGTGACCTATTCTAAAATGGTTCAGAAAATATATATATATGAAGGGAATGAAAAAAGTATATGTGGCAAAATGTTAAACATTCATAAATTTGGGTAAAGGATACATGAAAATTCTTAATTTTATTCTTGCAATTTTAAGTTTGAATTATTTCAATGAAAAGTAAAAAACGAAAGTATATCATGTCTCAAGTAATCCGTTTCTAATTTCAGTAATTTATAACCTGAAGAAAAAATCTCACATTCATTCAAGTATTTACTGAATGTGCCAAGCGGTAAATCGAGAGAATACCCTGTCATGCCCTACTCTTAAGTGCTCAGATAGCAGATGTTTTTCCATGTTGCTGGAGTCACTTGATCTAGGATCCAAAGGTCAGGGTGGGTATCAGTGCAAATCCCTGAATCATCCCTCATTGGTTTGATCACTGTAGTTGTAGTCTTTCTCTTCTTTAAATAGCAAAATGCCTTCCTAACACTTAAGAAAAGGTGAATTAAGAGAAAGGAAGGTATATGTAGGTTTGTTTTAAAGTCACAAAGTAGTAGTAATAGCATACATTTCAAGACATTTCATTATATGAGGACAGTAATTATTCACATTTTAAGACTTTTTTTTTTTTTGATTTTGCAGAGCTTTTGAAGACATTTTCCTCTAGCATGGGAATCAATATGAAAACATTGACTGTCCTGCAATTATCAATGTTACATTGTCTCTGGAGTTTTTGGCCTTGCTTCAATGCAATAAATCAAGTTGAAGCTTGCTGGTGGCCTTAGCAGAGCCATTATCACTGTAGCACATAATATCCTGCTTGCTGCCTTATTGTGATTCAGAGACAAGCTTGCTTTTTGACTAACAGCCAAGACTAAAAACTCAAGTTTCCATTATCAATAGAAGGAATACATTTGGTATATTCATACATGGAGTACTATGTGGCAGCACAGGAGCTAACTACTGCTATGTAGCAGTAGTTACACAAAGAAATCTCCTTTGGGAGGCCAAGGCGGTCAAGAGATCGAGACCATCCTGGCCAACATGGTGAAACCCCGTCTCTACTAAAAAAATACAAAAATTAGCTGGGCATGGTGGTGCGCACCTGTAGTCCCAGCTACTCAGGAGGCTGAGGCAGGGGAATTGCTTGAATCTGGGAAGGCGGAGGTTGCAGTGAGCCAAGATCCCGCCACTGCACTCCAGCCTGGCGCCTGGCGACAGAGCGAGACTCTGTCTCGAAAAAAAAAAAAAAATCTCACAGACATGATGTGGGACAAAAGCAGACAAGCACAAGTCCCTATGTGTGAATTTATTTATATAAAATTCAAATCAGCTACCACAAATATAGGAGGTAGGAAGAATGTCTATCTTTGGGGAAGGGATCAAATATCAAGTAGGGGCACAAGGGAGCCCTCTGAGGTGCTGGAAATGTTTTATATTTTTATATGAGTAATTACAGCACATAAACATTGGTCAGGGCCAGATGCAGTGGCTCAAGCCTGTAATCCCAGCACTTTGGGAGGCTGAGGTGGGCGGATCGCCTGAGGTCAGGAGTTTGAGACCATCCTGGCCAACATGGTGAAACTATGTCTCTACTAAAAATACAAAAATTAGCAGGGGGTGGTGGCGCATGCCTGTAATCCCAGCTACTCAGGCGGCTGAGGCAGGAGAATCACTTGAACCCGGGAGGCAGAGGTTGCAGTGAGCTGAGATTGTGCCATTGCACTCCAGACTGGGTGACAAAGCAAGACTCAGTCTAAAAAGTAAAATAAAATAAAATAAGCCAGCTGCAGTGGCTCAATCCTGTAATCTCAGGACTTTAGGAGGCTGAGATGGGTGGATCACCTGAAGTCAGGAGTTTGAGACCAGCCTGTCCAACATGGCAAAACCCCATCTCTACTAAAAATGCAAAAAATTAACCAGGCATGGTGGCAGACACCTGTAATCCCAGCCACTTGGGAGGCTGAGGCAGGAGAACCGCTTGAACCTGGGAGATGGAGGTTGCAGTAAGCCGAGATCGCACCACTGCACTCCAGCCTGGATGACAAGAGCAAAACTCTGTCTCAAAAAATACTAATAAATAAAATAAAATAAACAACGGTCAAAAATCATAAAACTATCAACTGTATACAAATGATACCTCCATTAAAATACTAAATAAAATTTATACATAAAATCTGGGTGTAGTAAAAACAAAGAATAATTTTTTAAAAACCCAAAGCAAGGCAAGGGGTGATGTTCCCAAATTGCCATGTATCAAAGATATGATGAGAAGGAAATTCTTTGAGGGTAGCTTATTTATGGTATGCTAGATGTCTTCTGGCTCCTTCACACATGATAAATAACACCAACTTTCCAAGTCCACTGGTTTGTTTCTTCAAAGGAAGAGCTGGAACAGGATCAATGTTTACTCGCATGACACAAAACATGTATGTCATCTCCATCTGAGATCAGATGAAAGCTAAGTTTAAATGACAGTAAAAAATCTTTTAAAAGTTATCCATTAATATAACTAGTAAATAAAAATATAAAACATTCTTGTCTGCATAAATAGCAGGAGAAATAAAAGCAAAATTAAACAACAGCGCAGACCCTGAAGTCAGAGAGCCAGGAGTTCTAGAAGAATCTTTGCTACTTAACTGGCAGTCTGTGTTTTTAATCCAACATATTTCTTAATAACTGTTGAGAAAAGGTTGAGACATCTAATTGGCACAGAAATGCAATACAAGGTAAGAACATGAATTCTGCATGTTCTATTAAAAACTCATGGTAATTACAAGGTTTTTGTTAAGTCTATTTACCCATTCCAAGATAACCTAGAACAGGAATATGAACAAGCTCAGCAAAATGATCACAAGGCCACTAAAGGAATGTCTGATACTCCCAGGCAGTCAAAGATGCTCAAGGGAAGAAAAGGATCCTGATTTAGATTTTTATAGCCAGCACGATTAAAGATCTCCTTTTACTCTTTTTTTGAGATGGAGTCTCAAGTCTGTAGCCAGGCTAGAGTTCAGTGGCACGATCTTGGCTCACTGCAACCTCCGCCTCTCAAGTTCAAGCGAATTCCTGCCTCAGCTTCCCAAGCAGCTGGGACTACAGGTGCGTGCCACCAAGCCCAGCTAATTTTGTATTTTTAGTAGAGACGGGTTTCACCATGTTGGCCAAAATGGTATTGATCTTTTGACCTCATGATCTGCCCACCTCAGCCTCCCAATGGGATTACAGGTGTGAGCCACCACACCCAGCGATCTCCTTTTATTTAACTTCCTTTTTTCTTCTTTTTCAAGACAACCCATTACTAGGATTCCTTTTCTTCTAAACAATGACTTTCTCATTCCTTTTCGCTGCCTTAAAATATGACAAGAAAAAAAGCATCTTTGCACATTGGGAGGCCGAGACGGGCAGATCACTTGAGGTCAGGGGTTCAAGATTAGCCTGAGCAACATGGCGAAACCCCGTCTCTACTAAAAATACAAACTAGCTAGGCGTGGTGATATGCACCTGTAGTCCCAGGTACTTGGGAGGCTGAGGCAGGAGAATCGCTTGAACCCAGGAGCTGGAGACTGCAGTGAGATGACATCAAACCACTGCATTTCAGCTTGGGTGACTACAGTGAGATTCTGTTAAAATTTTTTTTTGTTTTTGCTTTATATTTGCTTTATATTGCACATTGTAATAAACATAAAAATTTGCTGTCTCCCCACTCCCCTTTTCTCAGACTGAAGGTTGTCCAAGTACCTGAGATTTTTTTTTTCTTTTTTTTTTTTGAGACAGAGTTTCGGTCTTGTTACCCAGGCTGGAGTGCAATGGCATGATCTCGGCTCACTGCAACCTCCGCCTCCTGGGTTCAGGCAATTCTCCTGCCTCAGCCTCCTGAGTAGCTGGAATTACAGGCACGTGCCACCATGCCCAGCTAATTTTTCGTATTTTTAGTAGAGACGGGGTTTCACCATGTTGACCAGGATGGTCTTGATCTCTCGACCTCGTGATCCACCCGCCTCGGCCTCCCAAAGTGCTGGGATTACAGGCTTGAGCCACCGCGCCCGGCTTTTTTTTTTTTTTTTTTTTTTTTAAGATGGGGTTTCACCATGTTGGTCAGGCTGGTCTTGAACTCCCGACCTCAGGTGATTCGCCCACCTTGGCCTCCAAAGTGCTTGAGCCACCACGCCCGGCGTATCTGAGATTTTAGGAGTTTTACTTTTTTATAGTTTATATGCAGTTTATGCCAAGCCTAAGAGCATGAATTCTAGAATCTGTATGTAAGCTTGGATCTAAATCCCAGCTCCACCACCACTTACTGTGTGACTTTGGACAAGCAACACTTCAGTTTGATGCTTCAGTTTCCTCATCTGTAAAATGGGAATGTATTACTGAACCAATCTCAGGGTGGTTATAAAAATTAAATGAGATACTGCAGGTAAAGAGTTTATTTGATAAGTAAACATGTACATATGCTCAATATTAGAAGTTACACAAATGTTGATTCTCAGTTGGCTCTGGAAAATTCTTTTAAAAATGATCAAAAAAGAAAAAAAATGTCGATCAAAAAACAGGCATATCAGCCGGGCACAGGTGGCTCACACCTGTCATCCTAGCACCCTGGGAGGCAGAGGCGGGAGAACTGCCTGAGCTCAGGAATTCAAGGCTACTCTGAG